TTTCAACATGAATTTACCAAGAAATTGTGCTTGTTGGGAGATAAAAAATTTTTAATGCACGCTTTCAAATAAACTTCATAGATTTACACAAGATCTTCACCTCCAGTTTGCGATACTTGTGGTACAAGAATGACCATTCATTACATTATCACAGAATGTCAAAAATACCAGTTAAACAGAAGAATTCACAACATTCCGACCAACATGCAACAAATATATGAAGAAATTAGCATTCAAAAAACAATAAAATACTCAACAGATTTAAATCTTATTTACGAAATTTAAAACTAAACGAAATCAACAATACCCAGGTATAAAATCAGAAAGCAAAGAAATTGACGTGATGATAGCCCATTTGTGCTGAAACGCCCGAAATTAGCAACAAACAAACAAATAAACTTCAGCCGCATTATGACGTCATAGCTGATCAAAAGCTTGTAAATATCAATAACATTGTAGACAAAACAAAATGCATGAACTCTAAATTGAAGATTGTTAATTTAATTCCGCATTTATAACAATTTACCACACATCCAAAATTGTGGAAAATGCGGAGGTCAAATGCAATATCCCTGTAAATATGCAATAAATATTCAAGAATCAGAACAGCGTTAAATTGCAAATCTGATAAAATTCTTCACAAAAATTTAATTGTTCAAAAAATTATAAACAAAACGCTTCAAATCTAAAACCGTATCGCTAATGGAAGCAAGATCACAACAAACTACTAACAATATTTAGAGAAGCACAAAAAGAGCCGTCGAGGCGTCGGAATTCAAAGCGTTCATACTCTTGCGCGTTTTTCGGTGTTTCAGCACAGTCAGGCTTTCTGTATGTCTCTTCTTTTTCTTTTCTTTTTCCATATAATTGAAATTGATGATGTTTTATTTCAAATTTATTAACCAAATAGCTAATGAGTAGAAACGATGCCTAGAAGCTTATCGCACATCTTCAGTTTACGCGTAATAGTGGCAGAAATTCTGAGAAATCTGAAACAAAACTTTCATTCAAATATTATCTATAAATAAATTAGGATGAAAATAATTTAGCTCATAAATTCATTAATTACACCGTTAAAACAAACCCATCAAAACCTAAAAAGTTATTCCTTCATTTAACATAAAATTAAAGGTCTATGTACTTACAAATTGTTAAAAGAAACAAAAATCGTCGTTGATTCTCCATCTAAATGAGTGCTATAGACCATGCAGAAATTGATAGTTAACACTTCTACCCAAAAATTTAACAGAAATTCAGCATTATGTCAAATCACAGATTTACAGGCTATGTGTGTGATGCATGGTTTTCACGCGTATTCATATACGCTGTGTTTGTTTGTCGTTGAAACCTCTGAAGCAGATGCGCAAGAGAGAGATTGAAGATTGACCTTTAACCTTTTTAAATAGCATCCAATCACTCGAAATTTATGCAAATTTTCATGAAAAGATCAAAATCACTAAACTCAACAATAGCAGCCGTCACTACAGCAGTTTCAAATCAATAATGCAGCTCTTCTAATATACACCTCAAAATTCATTATTTAAATTCATTGTTTTAAAATTCATTATATATCAACCCTTAACCAAAACCATATGAAATCTCAAATAAAAATAAAATATAGAGGATCGTATAAGAAATGCATATTTATTAATGTATTTTGTGTTCACTGGAGCCGGATATATATATATATATATATATATATATATATATCACTGGATGATTAATGCCTAAGGTGTCAAAGTTATTGCAATGAAAACCTGAGTGTTGTGGTCGGAGTCATCCGACCCGACCCTGAGGAATACACTAAGAAATAAATGTCTACATGACGTTTGTTTTTATCTTTTATGTATTTTATTTTTATTTTATTATTTCTTATTATAATATAAAAAAAATTTTGTTTGTATTTTTATTGATATCAAATGATATCCCAAAATATCCATCCTTTTAAATGATACCCACCCTTTTATACAAATGTGATATTTTAAAGTCTGTCGAAATTTGTCTCATATGAAATAGGTCATATATTCCTGTTATAAAAATGATAAAATATTTAAAGAGTAGTGAAGGTTGCGTTGTTTGTGGGAGCATGACTTGAGTCCGACCTCGTCCTCTTCACGGGATCCACTTCCTTTCATGCTTATGTCCAAGTGGATGGACGCTAATTCAAGTGCGCTGCTTCAATATACTCCATTCAGTTGATGTTTGAGAAATTTGGTTGGAACATCATCATCACCATCGTCATCATAATCTTCATCATCATATTATCATTATCGCCATCATCATCGTCATCATCATCGTCGTCTTCTATAACTTCTTTCCATACAACCTTCCATCATTTGCCAGCAACAATTTTAACGTAAATTTTGCTTTTTTTTACTTCTCAGGAACAATATTTTTGTAGATTTAAGATAATTTTTTCCATACTTTGATATGCCCCAGCGTTCAATCGCTCCCATCTGTTTGGGCAATTTAAACTTTTCCAAAAAACTGATGGTCAGCAGGCCCTGTCATAATTTAGCCAGCATTCACATTCATCTCATATTGAGGCGTTGACTGGTTTTATTTGGTACTCGTCACATCAGCATTTTGCTGTTGTTGCAACATCATCCTTTACTACAACACCAATATCATCACCATCATTAACATCGATATCAAAATTTCAAATTTGAAAAATACGGAATCATGCTTTTCTTGTTTATTGATTGGTTGATGTTGATTTTGATGATGATGTTGTTGTTAATGTTGTTGATGATGATGCTGTTGATATTGTTGATGATGTTGTTGTTGTTGACGATAATGTTGCGGCTGATGATGATGTTGGTAATAATGATGATGATGTTGATATTGATGCTGATTAGAGTTGTTGTTAAGATAAACATTACGAGCTACACAACAATTTGATACATCCTCACTCGTCATGCTTCTGACTTCCTGCCGTTTAAACTGGTGTCATAACAAAACAAAAGATACAATATAACAAATATAAACAACAATAACGATAGAAACGCCAAAAACTTAAACGGCGATTTCAACAACATAACACGACAGAATGTTAAGAAGTGAACTAAAATCCCATTACAAGCACATGAACAACAAAATTGACGGATAGTAGCAACTAAAATTATAAAAAATGTTAAATTTATCTAAAAAATCTCCACCAATATATGGGCAACAATCAACAACAACCATCAACAATGGCCGCCGCATTAACATTGCATTCACAATATTCGCAATAACGGAAACAGTTGCACTGAAAGAATTTCTAAACAAAAAATACTGAAATGAGTGAAGTTGAAATATGGAGAATAAAAAAAAGTAACTATGAAATATTTCTGGATAATTTGAACGAATGAACGAACAACAAAGCCAAGGTGATCAACTTATTAATTTATGCACGGAAGGACATAAGCGGACAATACAATTTGTACTTTTTTGGAAGGCATAAATTTTGTCAACAAATACAATTTCATATTAAAAATTAAAATATATTTTGGCTTATTTGTGATGTTTTTGTGAAATCGCACGGAACGTTGATTAATGTTTTTAAAAAACATTGGCAGAAATTTTTTTCAATGCCGTTTGAACATCTGCGAAAAATTCTAAATTCGGACCACTTTACTTTTCGTTGGTTTTTGAAGCAAGTTCATGCACGATCGTAATAAAATTATAAAAAATAAACTCTTACCATCTGAGCTATCTCATTCGTAGAAGTAATGTAAAGTTGAAATGCTCTGTGCGGTGAAAATGAATATTTTTCGAAAAAAATTAGGATAGTCGGAGCCCGCTAATGAAGATTTATCTGAAACTTTTTGTACTTTGTTGAACAAACAAACGAGTAATTTTTATGTTACGTAAAAACTTTTTGAAAAGTCAAAATGTTATTTAAGCCATGGCGTTTTTAAAGATTCCTGCATGTTAACGTTTGTTTCGTTTTACAGGATGATGAACAGTCTCAACAAACATCCTTGTAAACGGATGTTAATTTTCTAGGACATTCCATTGATACTTTTAATTTAATAAACATGCTCAAACCATAAATATAAAGGAATAACATTTTGGAAATAAATTTAAAGATAATTTTTCAAACTGTCGAGATGATCGTAAATTGAATGATTATAGCATACGTACAAATTAGGAATGTGACGATTTCGAATCAGTATTCGAGTTCGGACTTGGTAAGATTTCGATTTGAATACAATTGAGTTTAGAAGAATAATCTAGTTGAATATTCTTAACTACATTGTGAAAGGAGATATTTTATAAACTATTTTAATTACGTATTACCCTTTTTCTACAAATGTTTTTAGCTCAATTTTCCATTTCAATTTGATTAATTATTTTTGATTTTTTTGCTTTTTCAGGCCATTTTAAATTTAAATTTTTTGTTTAATTCTTTTTTATCGTATCATTTTTTGTATTTTTAATTTATACGTTTGTAAAAATTTGGTTTTTGTAGAGAATGATGAAAAAATTATTATTATTGTTATTATAATTATAATAATAATAATAATTATTATATTATAATAATTATTGCTCGAATAATACGAGGGTTGGACGTTTACGTTCAGCTCACTATTTTTAAGCATAATTTTGATTTTAAGTCGTTCAAATTAGTTTTAAAATAGATTCTGTTGTCTTGAAAAATTTAGAGGATTATGGCGATACATTTAAAATTAAATTTCATTAACCTTAAATATTTTATTTTAATTATTTTAATTAATTCAATTTATACTGTTAATTCAACTAAATGTCCACATTGCGACAAAACATTCGTTAACGTTAATAAACACTCCTGGAGGTGTACTAAAAATACTGCTAATTCAAACAACAACGTTGTTCGTTCAAATGTTAAATCAAACATAAACATTTCATCTGATATTTATAATGGCAATTCTGTGGACAAGCATTCAATAAATTTAGAAAATAATATTATAACATGTTGTTGCGGAAAAGGATGCAAAGGCAGGAAAGGGTTAATTATGCACCAGCGCTCATGCAAAATGCATAAAAAAATTCAACTAAAGGATAACCAAACAAACGAAGTTGACGACACAGCATCACCTCCGGAACAACAAACGTCTCACAAATCAAGTCGCACAACACCAATTTCTCCATCAAAGCCGGCCAGTGACACAATCGAATCCACTCTGCCGGGTACCAAACTACCCAAGACGTCGACCCAATGGTCCGAAGCCAACGTTTACTTTCAACTACAACAACAATCACTTCCAAGCTATGACAATATCGACAACTTCACGTCCGCCTTCCAACAAATGATTTACAACTATTTCGCCACAAACTATGGCACTCTTAAACAACAAACAGTCAATAATACCAGCTCCAACAAATCAATCAAAAATCTAAAAAAAGAACTAAAACAGCTAAAGCTACTAGGCCACAACAATCAGCGCTTCGATGACCAAATCATCACAACAAGCAAAGCGCTCAGAGCTCAAATAAAGTCAAAAAAATTAACAAAATGCGATCAATCAGTCGACGTCACGTCTCAGCTAAAACAGCGCTTTTGGGGGACATGTAAGAAAATATTCGACCAAACAGAAAATTTGAAACCACTGTTTGGTGTCACTGATTGCCATCAATATTTTCTTTCGATTCTCAACAATCCTCATCAAACAAAATACCAAATACCTAGCTGGGCTCCAAAATTACAAAAGCCTCCAACACTCTGCAACACAAGCCCTCCTACATACCACGAAATTTCAACAATAATCCATAAATATAAATCAAAATCATCACCATGCCCTTTCGACCAGATTTCGATAATTCCATTTAAAAAATGCCCAATACTACGAACAATTCTCCACAAACTGTTGGTTCAATGCTGGGTATCTTGCAATATCCCCACTTGCTGGAAAAAGGGTTTCACAGTCCTCATCCACAAAAAAGGGGACGCCAACGACCCTTCAAACTTCAGGCCCATAACATTGCAACCAACTTTATACAAAATATTTTCATCATTCATCAACAATAAAATATATAATTTTTTAGAAAAAAAATAGTCTGATCAACACAAACATTCAAAAAGGGTTCTACCCAAAAATCGATGGTCTGACCGAGCATAATCAGCTCTTAAGTCATCTTCTCAACGATGCCAGGAAACATCAAAGAACTATAATTGTTTCCCTACTCGACCTTCGAAACGCGTTTGGAGAGGTCAACCACAATCTCATCTCATCAACTCTGAACTTCCATCATATTCCACCTCATATAATCAACTTAATTAAATGCATATACACGAACTACTCAATAACAGTATCCGGATGCGACCAGCTAACACCGCACATTCCAGTCAAGCGAGGAGTGCTTCAAGGTGATCCCATGTCTCCACTGCTCTTCAACCTCTGCTTTAACCCCCTAATGAAATTAGTTGAAAAAACCGAATATCAACAATGCGGTTACATTTGGGGTCCCACGGCTAAATTAAAGACAAGAGCGTGGCTACAATTCGCAGACGACACGGCGATCATTGCTAACAGCACTGGAAGCGCTCAAAAGTTAATCGACTTAAACAATGCATGGTGCAAAGCTACTGGAATGACAATGAGGATAGACAAATGTTCCTCATTCGGCATGAGAAAAAGAAAAGGTGCTTATGAACAGTTTCATCCGATGCTGTCCATCGACAACAAACATATTCCTCATGTAGATATTGGAGGCCACTTCGTATATTTAGGTAAGTTATACGATTTCGAAGGAA